AAAAAAGTTGGGAGTGAAACAATCATACAAAGTGTTTTCGGTGGCCTTAAATCGAGTCCTGAAGTCCATGCTCTATATGAAATATCAGTTGAGAATTTGAATAGTACGTTCAGCTGCTGTGTTAGGGCTTTAGAACATATGAAAATTTGGAATTATTCACTGAAATACAGAAATATTGATTTAACCAGGGAGCTGGAAAGAAGGAATATAATTGTTTCGGATTTTTATATTGAATCTAATGAGATCAGTCTACTCTTGGTGGCAGATATTTATGGACAGCTATTGACAGGAAGGGTTGAGCAGTTGGGACAGGATTTAGTTGCAATTGAAACACATTCAGGATGGACTATAATGGGAATATGTAATAAAACTAGTTCTTTTGAAACACTCTGTACATTCGATGTAAAAGAAATATCTAATTTATGGACTTTGGATGTATTAGGAATTGTTGATCCGGTAGCGATTAAAAGTAAAGATGTTGTAGAAGCAGAGACATTGAAGCATTTTTTAGCTTATAGAAGATTGATTGCTACCACTAAAAAATTGAACAATCTTGATAAATATTCTGAGTATGATAAGATTTTCAAGGAATGGACAGAATTAGGCATAATTGAGGAGGTTTCAGAGCTCAATTCAACTGATATTGTAGCACATTATATACCCCATCACCCTGTAATTAAAGAATCAAGCACCACAACGAAAATCCGCCCAGTATTCGATGCTTCGGCAAAAGATAAATATGGAAATTCTCTCAATGGGTGTTTAGAAAAAGGGCCAAATTTGATAGACTTGATCCCGAATATACTCATGGAATTTAGGATAGGATTGATAGGCGTGATTTCCGACATAAAAAAGGCATTTTTACAGATAAGCATAGCTCCACAAGATAGAGATGTTTTGCGTTTTCTTTGGTGGAAAAATGCATTACAAAATGAAATTTTGATATACAGGGTGTAACTGAATAAGTGTAAAACATTTAAGGAGATGATTCCTCATCGAAAAAAAGATAGGATCTTTCATATAAAGAAACTTCATTGGAGCATCCCTTGTTAAGATACAGCCCCTTAAAGGGGGTACATAAAATTTGTATAACAATTTTTTTCACAAACACTGAAAAAGTTACAATATTGAAATTAACCTGACGTTTTGTACTACCAAAAAGACACTTAGCCAGTAATTTATTTGGTTTACCCCATGGTTGTAAGGGGTGAAAAACGCAACCCCTAAAATTTATTTCCAATGTAACTTTTTGTCTTATTATTTGTTTACCATTTAAAAATTTATTTCCGATAGCCTGTTTCATTCTAAACAAAAAATGTCTCTTGGGTTTTTTGCCCAAAATAAACCAGTAAGCAGCAAAACATTATTTTACGAACAACTACAGAGATACATCGTCATAAATGCGAAAATACGAAACTAATCTATCTAGTAGGTCGCTATTAGCGATAGTGACAATTAAATTGGTATGACGCTGTCAGGTTAATTTCAATATTGTAACTTTTTCAGTGCTTGTGAAAAAAATTGTTATACAAATTTTATGTACCCCCTTTAAGGGGCTGTATCTTAACAAGGGATGCTCCAATGAAGTTTCTTTATATGAAAGATCCTATCTTTTTTTCGATGAGGAATCACCTCCTTAAATGTTTTACACTTATTCAGTTACACCCTGTATAGACATTCGAGAGTTGTATTTGGTGTATCTTCAAGCCCAGTTTTGCTAGCAGCCACTTTGGCATATCGTTTAGAAAATGCACCTGAAAATTAACGAACAGAGTTTGTAGTGCAAAATTATTAGTCGAATGCCGATGGTGGTCTGGGCCTGAGTGGTTGAAAGAGTCTCCTGAGTTCTGGCCGAATGTGACTAAAACCTATGATGAAAAAGAAGCATATGACGAATGCAAAAAGGGTAAAGTTACAACCATGATCTGTGAGGCAGGATATTCTTGTGCTGATTTTATAGTTCACTTTTCGAAGTATTCCAAAATAGTTAGAATGCTAGGATGGATATGGCGATTTTATGAATCAACTCGTAAATTGGTTGAGAGGAAGGAAATAGATTTAACTTATTTGAAGAGTATGAAAATGCTGAAAGTATACTTCTCAAAATGTTGCAGAGTGAATGTTTCGGTGATAAAGATAGAAGCAGTTTAGGAAATTTCCAGATTTTTGAGGATAAAAGAGGGTTACTGAGAGTCAGAACGAAACTTGTTTTTGGAGAAGAACCTGATAATTTTAAATATCCATTACTCTTGCCATATAAACATATATTAGTTGAACGTTTAATAATACAGCAGCATGAACGTTCGTATCATGCAGGAGTACAGACACTTCTAGGGATATTAAGGGAGAGATTTTGGATTTTAAAAGGCCGCAGAATGGTGAAATATTCAATTTTCAAAAGTAAAGCACTCGGAACACCATTCTCTCCTTTAGCAAAGAATAGAATACAAAGTGCGACTGCTTTTGAAATAACTGGAATAGATTCAGCAGGTCCACTATTTCTGAGAAATCGTGAAAAGGCATGGATTGTCATTTTTACTTGCGCAGTTTATAGAGCGTGTCATTTCAAAATTGTACAGTCACTTTCAACAGAAGCTTTTCTACATGCTTTGAGACGGTTTATAGCAAGAAGAGGTAGAATTTCCGTAATTTATTCAGATAATGGTGGTAACTTTGTGGGAGCCAATAATTTGTTGAAAGATTGGGGCCAGGTAGCCGTGCGGACAGAGTGTCCATATTTTAATCCGCATTCGCTTGCCGGTCGTGGGTTCGAGTCCCGTCGACTGCAGACATTTTTCTGATGGCCCAAGAAAGTGTTTGGGATCACAAGTTGAAAGGTAAGGCCCCCGTCATTCCTTGCTCGCACAAGACTCTCGAAGGCTTCTGAGGGTTGCTCGTAAGGGGGCAACCGAATGACGCAATTTTAGAACAACAACAATTCAGATTGGAACACCATCGTTCAATACTCCACAGTAAGGAAAATCAGATGGTTTTTCAATTCTGCTACTGCATCTTGGTGGGGAGGATGGTGGGAGAGAATGGTAAGGATCATAAAGGAACTATTAAGAAAAAATCTAGGAAAATCGCGAGTAACTTATGAAGAACTGATGACACTTACTTGCGACTATGGAGCTATAATCAACTCACGTCCACTCACTTATGTTTATGATAATCCTGATGAGCTGAGTCCCATAACTCCTGCTGTTTTTATACTAGGAATCAAATCTAATGAAACTCCGGACTTAGACATAATAAACCGAACTAGTATGACAAAGAGATATAGAAGTCTTCAAAATTTGAGAGACTCACTTAGACATCGATTTCGAATTGAATACCTAGCGAATCTAGTCCATGTAGGACAAATAAGACAAGACAAATTGAAGGTTGGTGACATTATTCTAGTTGGCTCGGATAACTCGAAGAGGATAAGCTGGCCAATGGCAAGAATAATAGAAATATATCCAGGGAGAGACGGAATAGCCAGAGTTGCCATAATCCAATTAGCATCTGGTGGAGAAATAGTCAGGCCATTTCAAAGGATTTATCCTTTAGAGATACCTGATCATTCTGATGAATTCATCATATCAAGAAACATAGATGAATCGAAAGATAATCCGGTAGGAGAAGATGAAGAATAAGAAGTCCATGAAGTTGATGAAGAAAAAGAAGTCTTGAAAAGGAATATTCTCAGATAAATTATGAACATACAAAAATGGATATATATTTATATAAAGCAATACATTGAGAATTCGCATTCTCTATGTGATGAGAATATTTACTCTTTTTCAGTTAATTCAATAGAAAACAACTACTTTCCTGGCTATATGCCACGACGAACATTGAATTATATCTATTGAACACACACGATAAGAGTTTGAAAATAAAATATAAAAATTTCTGAAATTGAGAATTTGCATTCTCCTTCAGACAAAAATATGTATATACACACATCATTCTGAATATTCAACAGAAAACAACTACTTTCCTGGCTATTTGCCACGTCGAACATTGAATTATATCTGATGAACATTCAAAAGGGAAACATGAAAAATAAAGAATAAAATCCCCCGAAATTGAGAATTGACATTCTTCTTCAAATCGGATGAATGATATGATGAATAATGATCTAGAAATATGACTTACCAATATATTCAGCATTGAAATGAAAATTGGAATGTATAGGAGAAGTATACTGGCATGAACTCTGATCTTGGTGAGCTTGAAAACGTCCAAAAATAATCATTCATATCAGTGATATGGGAAATATTATCTCTCACACACAGGTTATATGACTTTATAGTAACCAGACCAAGAACTTTTATAAAAGGCCTGATTGAAGTTGCTAGTATATCCTAGATTGTCAAACATTCATCCAATTCTGGTATAGTACTAGTGATTATCGAGAATGTAAAAACGTCACAAACTCTAGGTTGACTCAAACTCCCCTGATCCCAAGTTTGATTTCCCTATGATTATTGAAAAATATGAAGTGATGAATGTGTAGGTATTTAAATATAATGTAGGTACATCGAATAGATATTGACTCCACTATAGATTTTTCATCTTATGAGTGTTCTGTGTAGGCTTCGTTCTCAAAACTGACACTGTCGATTGAAACGCAACAGTGAACTCCACGAAAATTTTGATCAGTATGGACTTCCTGATACATTCATCAGAGGATGTTTCGAAACGCAGAATGTAGAACCCACTTCATGAATGAGAATCCTCTGTTTTGTCAGATATCGAACCAACAATCTTCTGATTGCTAGTCGAGCGCTGTTACTGTTGTAACATATATATGATTCAATCGAAAACGCACAAAATCAGAAGGTTGCAATCCTAGTGAAAATAGATAGAATATTGATAGATAATGCATCTATTTCATCCTCCCAGGATATCCTGAAATCATCCGAATAAATGGATTTATGGATTTCCGGTGATGATTGAATTTTTCAAATGAATCATAGACTAATAAGAGAATGAAATGAACCACTACGTACTTCACACGAATCCTTTTGTCCATTCGCATATCCAGCACATAAGAAGGATTCCAAAATGACCTTCGAGTGTCCAGCCGTTCTGAACATTTCCTGACACACGTGGTTCTCCATTATAGGAACTTGAACTTCTTGGAGAATCGATGGGACACCTCCACCATACTTCAGTCTGCCCCATCCAGTCACTGTTGCCATCCTACCCGTGAAGTCTTCTTGGTCTCTTGGTAAACACACAGGAACTGTGAAAAATACGATTTATCATTCCATTATTACTCCAGTTAGGATCATAGAGATGAACAATATTTCTACTCCTGGAATTAATTTGTTTTCAATGACTAAACATATCAGAAAATTTTGAAGAGGTTAGAGTTGCGAAGTAGGAACATTTTGACTTCAGATTGATATTTGAGAAGATAATTAATTTGCTTCAGATCATTGGGCAGTAAGTTGTACAATTTTGGGCCATAGAAGTGAACACATCTTTGTGTGTGAGATTTTTTATAAATAGGTAAGTCAATGGGCATACTAATAGTGAATCTAGTAATCCTTGTTCTGTTTGTTTTTAGGCTTAATCTTTCTTGGAACATCCATATTGAACATTGAGAAACATATAAGTTTCGTGAGTTCAAGAGTACTGTTTCTTGATACAAAGTTTTAGTAGAAAATAACCTATCTTTGTGATAAAGAACTCTTATTCAACTGTTTTGATTTGATTCTAGGTTTTTTATGATTATACTATAAATTCCTCCACATGCTAGGATACAGTATCTAATTATCGATTCCGCTAAAGTATATAGGCTAATTTCAAGAGTTTTTTTGTTCAGTATATCTTTAAGCAAGTAAAATTTATACATCATTGTTCTCAGTCTTTTGATTAGGAATGTTACATGCTCATCCCACTCAAGATGTTGATCGATAATCCTACCCAAATATTTTATGGTATTTGTTTTCTCAATTTTGGAGCAGCTGCAATTATTTTTGTGATAGTCCTTTATGTGTAGGAATACATTTTCATCTATTTGATCTGTAGTTATCAGTAGGAAATGCATGTGTTTACTTTTATCCACGTTTAAACTGAGTTTATTTCTGACAGTGAGCTTATATCGTCATAGTTACGATATCTATAATGAGGGTCATAACTCCCTTGGGATGTTATAGATGCTATAATTCCCTCTAGCTAAAATTAAATAAGAAATGCATAGCAACAACCACGCAATAACGTAGCAATAAGGAATCTCCTATTCGCGGTAGTCAAGATCATCTGACGTTCTGATGACATTGAAACTATACGGAAAAACATGTCTAACTTCCAATCGGGAAGGTATCTAATGAATGAAATCAGTCAGAAATAAAATTATCTATGTATCACGGGAATTATAGAGCCTTAATAACCTCTGGCAATTGCTGTCCCTCGGGCCAGAGGCCCTCGGGACGCAAACTTTGCCATCGGTAATTAAGGCCCTCATAATTCCCTTAATACATAAATAACTATTATTCACGTTCAACCAAGTATGTAATTCACTCATACCTATTTAAGCATTCTTGTAAATGTTTTTCCAAGAATTATCTTCGAAGATTATAGCAGTGTCATCAGCATAGGAAACGATGTGTCCATCTGAATTCTTGATATTGCTCATGTCATTTATATATAAGAGGAATTATAACGGGCCTTAAACGGTACCTTGCGGTGAACCTATACTGACATTAGCAGGATCACTTGAATTATTTTCTTTTTTAGCATACTGTATCCTATCATCTAAGTAGTTTTGCAACACTCTCAATACGGGCCCTCTAATACCAAATTAATACGCTTCATCAAGTAAAATACTATGCGATACCGTATCAAACGCTTTAGCCGGGCCTAGAAATATACTAGAGTCTAGCCATAGCACCAGTGCGAGAATATTGCGCCTGGTGCGCAGGTCGCTGGGCGCGAGAAATTGCAGCGAAACAATAGTATATTGTGCAACAAGTGGGAAAAGTTCAACTTTTCTCACGAGTGTGGAAGTTTGTGGCACGAGCCTGAAAGGCGAGTGCCGCAAACACACGAGTGAGGAAAGTACTTTTCCCCACATGTTGCACACTATACTTTTTCTACGACTGCACATATTCAAAGAACAATGTAACTCAATTTTTATTTTTTATGGGTTATAGCAGAACTAAAATAACATAACATAATAACAAGTTTCCTACCTCTTAACAGTTGAATTATTCATTTGAAATTATAGTTAATTGTGAAATTCTTACAATTTTGTATGGTCAAACCAGGAAAGTCATTGTTTTTGAGTAAATTTTCTGTTATATTAATTGTAGAAGTAGAAGTTGAAGGTTGATTATTTATGTACAGTGGTGCATTTTCTGTCTCCATTTCAGTGAATAGTTCTACTGGTTTTTCAATAGAGTCGACGATTTTATTTGCAACGTCCATTTTATTTTTAATAGAGTCTCCGACGTATCCTTCTGCCACGGTACTGGATTGCCATCCTCCATGGCGCTTTAAGGTTAATATGTCACCTCCTGCATTTACTAAAATTGTTGCCGAAGAACGTCTGAAGCAGTGTCCTGTATATAAATGGGGATTTTCCAATTTTAAAAAAATTGCAATTCTCTTTGCCATACTACCAAATTTGTTGATGCCGACTACTTGTCTAGTACATTTTCCGTTCTGGTAATTCAAGAAGAAACGTTTTTCTGCCAAATCATTCGGTCGAAGAGCGGCATATTTTTTATATATATTATAAAATTCCCCCGTTACAGTGAAAGTTCTTGGCTTCTTTGTTTTGGTGTTATCTAATTTCACCAACAAAGCCGAATTTAGATCCTCTAAATCATCGACTTTTAATTTCCACAGTTCATCTCTACGACATGCCCCTGCTACGCCAATAGCCACTGCAACCTACAAATAAAAATATCAGGATGTAAAATCATTTATATAATTAAAAAAATATATCATCCCTGGCCGGGTATTGAACCCCGGGCCGCTAGTATCCTAAGCGGAAGCACTACCACTACACCACGGAGTAGTTATTAAAATATTTATTCATAGGCATATACTTATCTTCCACAATATGAAATTGACTTTTTGAAGATTATCTAATTATTTTTACCTACTGAATACACCCACTAACTATAAAAAGCTGTTAATTCGAGGAAAAAAGCGGAAGAAATTCGAAAAATAGTTCAATTTAAATAATAAACCCACCTTTATTAGTAGATATTCCTTGTTTGGAGCTTCTTTTAAAAATCTCTGCAATTGGTCGGCTGTTAATATGTTTGATTTCTTTGGGAAGTAATTGTCAGACTTTCTTTTCAAAAATGCACGTAATTTTTGATACGTGGATATATCAATGTTATGTTTAATACTGATGGTACTTTTCAACATCGAATATTGTGACCAAAGTGTTGACGCCTTCAAAGTTTTCGACATTTCTTCGAAGTATACCAAAAGTACACTTTCCGAAAACGATTTTATTTTCGTATTTCTTCTCCATTCCATGAATTTCCCATATGCCAATTCATACTTCTTTCGGGAAATTTCCGGCAACAAATCTAATGTTACTTTTGCCGCTTGTTCCAATATTTCTGGTGGAGTATTGTCAAAATCGTCACTGCTTTCATAAGTTTCCATATTATTTACCTATCACTGGTACAAATATGTATATTATGTCTTACTAATATTCAATGAAATTGCGATTTTTTATCGAAACACGATTGATAACTACCTCAAAAATTGAAATAAATTCTGTTGACAGTTGTTCGTGACAACAGCGGCCAACTAAGTTTTTGTCGATTTTAGTTGATTCTCCATATAAAAGGTACCTACTATGCGTGGTGTTGGCAAAGTGCTGTGAGAAATAATATTTCTCACAGGTATGAGCAATTCGTGGTTTTGAAATTGAGTAAGCCATGAGAATTACGCTACTTTTCATAGCAGTCGTAGAAAAAAATAAATAAGTCATTGTGAAATGATATTGCGCGTCGCTCGCTGCTCGCTGGGCGCGAGAAATTGCAGCGAAACAAAAACAAATAAGTCATTGTTGTGAAATGATACATTAGACAACTGCTTTCCTAGTTGATACCATGTTACAGGGTGATCCCTAGAATCGTGACACACCTCGAATCAATTTATTCAAATTGAATTAACACTGTACTGTTCATAATTATTACATATATATATCCCCAGATAGCACGAATATTCTCAGAATATTCTTACAAGCTGCGAAAATGTCATCTTCTAGAATAATATTCTGAAGAATATGCATAGAAAGTTCTCAGTATGTTGCGAATATTTATGGAATGTTCCATGCGAATATTCTGATAGTATTACATGAAAGTACATTCCTAGAAGCTCCTGGGATATAATATTCCAGAATGTTCATCAAATAATATTTTCAGAATATTGTGAACATTCATGGAATACTTTGCGAATATACTAATGATATTCTGAAAATATGTTCCAATGAGCTTCTGAAATGGAATATTCTAGAATGACAATGTTCAAATATACTTATTTCAGAATATTCTAACATAATGTCCTTAAAATGATCATAAAATATTTTCATCCTGCAACGAATATTCTATGAACATTCAATTTGACATAGATACACAAGAATATTCTTTTCGAATATTCTGAGAATATACAGAATCGTATCAAATTATGAAATTGATGTTATTATTCATGTATTGATATACAAAGTGTTCCCCTTACCAAACCCATTATTATAATGGTTGTATGCCACTAAGTGTTGAGATCTTCCCATTCATATCATTCATTAAAAAGGTCTGTAGCTCAGTGGTTAAGGTGACAGGTAAATAACTATGTAGGTTCGCAAGCCCGCACCGGAGCAAGCTTTTTTAAATTTTATTACTATAAATATACCTACCAGCAACATTCTCAGAATATCTAGAACAGCCCTCTTAGTATATCCATAGAACGTTCCTAGAAAATATTCGTATAATATTCTGAGAAGGTACTTGTGTGTGCTATCTGGGTATATACATATATAATTATATAATTCCACAAAAATTCCCCCTTCCCCTGCAAAAATAATATCGCAGCGATCTTAATTAAATATATTGAAAATGGTAAAAGATACACAGTTTAAAATTTAGGTATATTTGATAAACAAAAACAAACTCAAAATATTCCTAAAATATAAAGTGTGTTCGAAATAGGAACAATTATAAAAATGAAATTTCGAACAACAAAAAATAAAACTGAGATTTTGAAAAGAACTGAATGTTTTCGAACATTCTGCACAACAGTTCGATTGCATTTTTAAAGTGTGAAACGCTAGACTTGGAGGTCAAACGATAAATGAGTACATATTCTGGAAACAGTTCGAATGGCAACCAACAAATCTCCTTCCCGTGATACATGATTCGCCGCCAATCAAGGGTATTGGGTATTCTTTTACCAATGATGATCTTTATTGTTTCGCTCCAATATTTGTCCCGCGCCGCACGGCCGCAACCCTTCTCGCTTCGCTTCTCGCGCTCGGCGAGCGAGCGAGCAAGCAACGAAATTTTCTGTTTCTCGCGCCCAGCGACCTGCGCACCAGGCGCAATATTCTCGCACTGGTGCTATGGCTAGACTCTAGTTAGAAATATTGCCATACATTTTTTTGAGTTATCGAGTGAATTTGTTATGTGTTTGATAAAGTTCAAAACAGCACTTTCAGTAGTTTTTCTCTGTCTCCTTAACAAACAATCACTTCGTTATTTCACACATTGATCTCAGTGTATAGTGATATTATTATAGAATCCAATAATTATACATTGAAGAAATCTTATTGAATTAATCATATATCTACAACGAAGAATTCGAAACTGGTGCTGAATGAGGAAGAGCGGGATCCACAGAGCTCATGGTGGTTATAGAACCACTCTAAGGGCGTTTTGTATTTTTGGTATCGGTAATCATGATACTAAACGAATTTTACAATTTTGACTATCACTTTGCGATATTATTGTGAAAGCATTGAGAGTGATCGGATTATCAAGTTTATCAAAACGTCTCAAGAATATAGACTTCATATTAGAATCTTCGTGCCAAGTTATCATGATATATGAGTCATTCATATGAGCTTATGAAGTTTTCAGAATTTCATTAAACGTTCAATGGAAACTATCACACGTTCTTACAGTGTCTTATATTGCCACTTCAAAGTTGGGAACCAACTCCCAAGGAGTCTAAACTTGTGCGGGACTAGGAAGAGCGGGACCTACAGCTTATAGTGGAAGGCGAACCACTTCTAGGGCATCGAGGTGTTGCCGGGATTACAACCATAAATCACACATTTTGAAGTAAAATGCTCAGCCTATAGCCGGATTCGAATACGAATACCATACGAATAAAAAACTGGATGTATGTGGTGTTTGTTGAAATCTCATAAAAGTAAACATGAGGCGAGATGGTGTAGATGCCATAAGAATGGAGACAGGGACTATACAAGACTATGGATGAACAAACTGTAAATGCATGGTCAGTCAATTAGTGCACTGAAATGGTGTTTTGCATATTTTCGCAGTAACATTTTTTCTAATTTCACTTTTTTATGAATAATTCAAATGTTCCACGTTTTTACTACGAATCATAAACAGTAAATAGCATGAACATCCTACTTTTGTTTTCAAATCAAATCAAGAGAGTTGTGGTTAATGGATGATCGATTTTCTAGTGAACGATGAAAATGGATTCGTATCAGTGAAAGTTGAAGATGTAGGTCAGGAATTATTGCAGCTCTGCTTTAATATACACGCCTATTGTATGATAACAGGCATCACTGAAAGTCAATTTGACTGATTTGGAGATGTGGTGTTACTTTCTATGCCGTGTTTGTGAGTTTTGACGGTTGCAAACGATTCACTGAACTTCATTTCAGTTTTATTCGATATATAAAATATGCAAAACACCATTCCACATTTCACTCGAAATTGATACCTCTGATCAATGCGGAACAAGAGCACCTGTTCCTGTGAAACGGTCTGAGTTTTCATAATCCGAAATTGAATTGTCGAAAAATATGCATACAAAAAAGTTTGATCAATATTTAATGTAGTCCCACCCTGTATTATACACCCCTGAATGAAACTTTGGAATGATCTTATGTTCGCCGCATTTTGCATGGAATTTTGTTGTTGTACCAAATTGCATCACGTGGCGTTTCGGAAATATTCAAGAAAAATCATCTTCAGGGGAACCCTTTCAGGGGGCCGTAGCTCTCTTAGGTGACATTTCTCGACTAATGTTTATTGACACTCTTTTTGCTCGTGAAAGCCGTTGGTGGATGATTTCGGGACACCCTGTATATGTGTTTTGCGTAGATACAGTTTACATAAAAAAGACTTGGAAGTTGCCTATAGAACAAATAAGACATAAGACGTTGGGAAAGTTTATCAAGAATAATGGAGAAAAAACTTTCGAATTCGAAAGATCAGGGGTATAAAAACTCAACTGTGGATTTTGTCATTAGGAATACAGGGTGTTCCATAATATATGCGCTGGATGTGCTGATGTTTACAAAAGGTGTTTTCTGTGCGATAAACGGTTCCAGAGATATTCGCAAAAACCATTATTCAAGTTAGCTCAAACTTTCTTCATATCTTTCAACGAGCTACCACAACCTGAGATCCTGCGCATATATTATGAGACACCCTGTATATCGGGCAGACGTTTGATCACCGCATTCATGAACGTGAGATGACTTTTTTCAAAAGAAGATAGAATCAACGCGAACCACAAATTAGAAGAAAACTCTAGTTTTGATGATAATTTCAAAATTTAAACGTAGGAAATGACGAATCAGAACTAAATCATTTGGAATAATTAGAAATCATCGAATGCAGGAATTCAAAGATTTCACTTAACGATCAACTAGACCTCAATAAGTCACTGTTGTTGAATTTGTCCTCCCAGTAGGTTATTATCCTCTTCAAATTGTTCTGATAGGTACACCTGATTTAATGTAGATTATTGAGCCTATACTTTCCGAAAGTGAAGGCTTCACCGACTTCTGCACAGGCAATTTCAATTCTCCAGATTCGCAGATTTGGAAAGTATATGATAATAACATAAAAGTCAATGTTATGACGTTCAGTTCATTGTGATTGTGTTAAAATTTATCGTTTGTGAAATTTATAACATGTACCTACTATGGAATTACATCAAGTTAAGGCAGAGTCAGTTCAAAATACTTCAAATTTAATGAACAATCATGTCCTATTCACCTGTTCATCTTTCGCAATATGTAGATATACACTTTTCTTCCCAAAATAGATGAGTCTTTTCAAACTTTCATTGTCTTGATGTTCTTCTGACATGATCTTTCGCTTTTCTTTAGTGCTCCTATGTGATTATCCGCACATGATGAAGTTTTGAAGCTTACTAATCATTATAATAAATATAAGAAACTTCACAGACGATGAGATGTCCACAAAATTCTCAAACACACGACATGTTTCGCTAACACGGTAGCTTCGTCAGGTGATATAATGGTACGATGAACTAAACTAACCTTGGCTTGCTTATTATATCCTAATTTCCCAACCTGAAGGATAAGTTACCTGTGGATAGGTTGTATGAACCTCCATTTTCGGAAATTGGGCACAATATCTACATTTGAATACGGTGTTCTAAAATTGTTCTATCGGTCATTCGGTTGCCCCCTTACGAGCAACCCTCAGAAGTCTTCGAAAGTCTTGTGCGAGCAAGGAATGACGGGGGCCTCACCTTTTAACGTGTGATCCCAAACACTTTCTTAGGCCATCAGAAAAAGTCTGCGTTCGTGGGACTCGAACCCACGATCGACGTGAATCGATATTGAAGCATCGAAGCACTGAGGTACGCCGGCCTGTAGCGGCTTAATTTGAAAGGGTTGATATCCTTCAGGTTGGGAAAGTAGGATACATAAGCAAGCCAAGGTTAGTTCAGTTCATCGTACCAGTATATCACCTGACGAAGCTACTGTGTTAGCAAAACATGTCGTGTGTTTGAGAATTTTGTGAAAGTCTTATCGTCTGTGGAGTTTTTACATTTGCCATGGATTTCCATCAATTAACGGCCGAGTCAATTCAAAAAACGTTATAATAAAGTATAGTTCTGGTAAAATTGACCAAAGATTTGCTTCTCGACCTATCATAAATTGATGTTGAACTCTCCATCGAAATTCTCATGACCTATTATACTCACGTATATGCTGATCGAACTGAATCGGCTGCTCCAGCTCCAACAGCGCCAGATCGTTCTCGAACGTCTGCGCGTCGTACTGTCTATGCACAATCACCCTCTTCACGTTCCTGCTCAGCGGCCGCTTCTTCTCCAGGTCCCCAGAGATGTCGAACTCGCCGAAGACTGCTACCAGAGAGGCCAGGAAGCCCGGCTGGCAATGGGCGGCCGTCATAACGTACTTGTGGCTGATGAGGACGCCACCGCACTTGTTCTTGGTGAAAAGACCCAGCCAAGTGGACTCTCTGACGAGCACCTGCCAGGGGAATTCTCCGAAGGTAGCGCCTTTGCCGCCTACGATCTTGGCGCTTCTCATTAGAGGCCGGACACCACACTCTGCAATAGGGGGCAATGGTTTTGAAAGTATATTGCGTGTTCGAAGTGAAGTGTAACTGTTTGGCGAATTTGTATATTTGGCTGACGAGTGTGCGTGTCTGCCAATTACAATCAAGCTAACAAAAGCACCTGATGCCACAGAATCACCAGATGAAACATGCTGCATTTTCTCAACATCTGATGATTGCAGAGACATATCCAGCATGAAGGTGATTCTAATTGTGTCGTGCAGCCAAAGTGAAAAAACGCATCCAGCAGTTGCGAAAAAGTACGCTAAGCGATATTTCATGGCAGTTACTCTGCGAAAGGTCGCGAGGTTTTTTTGGTAGCCGTTACATGGAGTATCAGCCGAACTCAACGTCACTAGAGAATTTGATATTTTGGAAAAATGATAATATCCGAATATCCATCTTGATTTGATCTCTGAATTTCCATTATCGTTCACAGACATTAGGATATTGATAAGAATGTTTTTCATGAGGAATTATTATTGTTTCTGGTATATATTGGTGTCCTGCATAACGTTTTTAAAATACCCGAGGTAGGAGGCTACACGCGCCAGACCAGACAGTTGATGGCAGCCATTTGAATTTTGAACACAATTTCAATCCTCAATCGATCCTATAGATTGCACAATCAGAATACATTGATTCGAATGAAAAATGACAATATGGAAAAGGTTATATGATAATATAATATTTCATTTTCGAATCAACACGTTCCATGATGAATGTACGCAAAAAATTATGTTTGAGAATCACTGCCCGATTCAATTTCTAGAGACTGAAGTTTGAGTAACTTAATTTGAAGCGAACTAACAGAATGAGTAAATGATTTTTTGTCAAATTGAATAAAGCAGTCTAACGACCTGCCAAAAACTGAAAAATTGAGCTATCGAATCTATTTCATTATTTTGTGTTACTGAAGTGGGATGATCGTGTTCTCCGTCGACCTCGTATTAAGGAGTCTGTTCAATGATACTTCACCACTAGCTATAGACTATTACTCCTCTTCAAGGCGTGAAGAGGGTTTTTCCTACCAAGGTAGTTCTATTCATTTTAATAACTACCAGTCAATGAAAACATAGCCACTCCTGTTATAATCAACATATAATGATTGAAATATATCGCTTATAGTAAAAAAGTGTAATATTCAGCTTGGTAGTTGGAAATATTATTACCACAGAACTCATCTTCGCCCCTGGGTAGGTTCTAATGATAATATTCACTATCTGGGTGCATAAATAACTGTTATGAAATTTTTAAACGGAGGAAGGAAAGCTCGAAGTCATCTCCACAACTTCAACCCTAAGTTGGATTCAACACGTTTTTGGCTTTTGGCCCCGTCGATTCCAAATTGATTTTTGGACATTCAGTGCGTTCTCTCAATGGTACGGGACCCTTTTTCCTGTTTTACAACCAAAAATGGTTATGAAGAGCACCTTGTATGCTCGTCAAGTTTCCCTTCTGGGACTTGACTTTTGATTCCACGAGTGCGCGTTCTTAGGGCACGATGACCTTTATTTTTAATGGAAACACGTTTTTTTTATAGAACTTATTTATTATCAATCACGATATTATGACGAGAGAAATACAACAATTTTAAGAACATATAATTTTCATTATTCCAAATTTTTTTGAATTTTCTCTCCTCGTTTCTATAAATTGAAAATATGAATATTATTTCAATATACGTGTAGTAAGGACAAATCAGATGATTTGCCCCAAAATGTCACTGATGCGTTTGAAGAATTTTCCAATCATAGAGACTGAAAGAAAAATTCCCTAGCTTGTCAGTGACAATTTGTATTGAAAAAAATTTGAAGAAGAGAAATGTAGGTATATAGATAAAATATCAAATTTTCACTTATCTCTGGACGTTTCGGGACCGCTTCTGCTTCCGTTTTCAACATAAGAAAAGATTATTTCAATAGCAAAGTCGTATCTGTCTTGAAGCTTTTCGGTTTTCACATGCCTTTGCTTGTAGTAATTTCTAAAATTGATTGACTACATCATTATTGAAGTTGTGAAGATGACTTTGAGCTTTCCTTCCTCCTTTTTAAAAATTCCACTCCACTTTGAGCAGACATGGACTTCTACTTGATATCATGAAATTGATCGTTAATTAATTTGTCAATCAAAGCATGTACCTATAGGCATCATACACCGCTTCCTTCAACTGTTTTGGCACTATAACTCGCACCGAATCTGAATTTGAATCGAGAATATGGATTCCATCGGAGATTTTACGTTAATGAGTATGATTTAACGTTTCTGAACCGATGATCATCCCCAATTGTATAGGGTGAACAACTGAGAACATCAGCTATCATCAATCATTTTTTCAACTTTGATCGTTATTATCTTCCGTTAGCGAAAAGCTATCGTGTTGCGGTCTTCGTTGGTCTGTTGAGATCAAGTTCCTTCATTTCGTAATGTAATAATATGCATATTTGCACATTTGATTTTATTAATCACGATACTCATTGATACTCTAGATCACGCCATCTAGTGGCAACGGTGATATGAATATGAAACCTATATTCTAATCACAATTGGTAGAACAGGAGGAGGCCTTTACAACGAGTTCAAGATTGTTGAATTCTATTGAAGATAATCAGAGTGACAGACATTTATAAAAAATATAATTTGACGTTCCTCCATGCACTACTCCATATTATGAGATGGGACAAAACATTTCGAACAAAAGAGAAATAGGAATTTATCAAGGATCAATCTGCATAATATAGTTCCAGTGTACATCTTGTTTCTATTGAATAAGGAGAAAATCTCAATTTTCTCTTCACTCATAGCCGTTACGACACCTAGCGTGTATTTTAGAAATCTACACACATTTTTCAGGTAGTATTTTCAGAGTCACTTTTTTCGAAATATTAATTTTCTCAAACTTTTACCATTATTTGTTGCTGAGATATGGCCGACAGCCGTTCTGAGTTGTTCACCATATACAACGTTTTATTAGGATCAAATAATGTGACACTTTGTTTGACAAGCGATTTTTGCGTTTGCGAGGCGCAGTGACCACAAGCAAATCACACAAATTTTGCGAGTCGAACAGAGTCGTTTCTGATACAGATGAAACATGCAGTTTTTGCTGCAATAGAAATAGTTGATGGAATATAAGTGGAAATTTCACATCTGACATTTTCGACTTATTGAAAGCTTTCATTAGGCATTGTTACCATAGCAACTGAACGAATTTCAGGATTCTTTTTCCTCCTCCTTAAAGAAAGAAGCATAAAATCACACTGCAAATTTGTTGACGTTTCAAAATGACATTCACATTCACCTTGAAAATAAATATACATTTCTACAAACTTCAGCTAAATGGATTTGTGAAAAAAATTGGGACTCATTCTTCGAGTTTCTTGTGAAAACATATTATTATATTCCTACCATTTTTAGTAGAATGAACTTGTGAAAACTGGAGAATCAAGCTACTATCTACTTATTTTTCATTATTTTGTGTAACTGAGTTGATTTTGTTTCATTCATCCTTACAATGTTATGGATATCAGTGATATAATTTACTATACGTACTGCTTGTAGTTCCTTGTAATGAAATATATTCTCACCAATTTTAGAAGCATGGGCTTAGTAAAGAATACTAGGTTGAACCACCACTAGCTCAATTATCAATATTTTGCAAGACTCCAGTCGGTATCATGTATTTTATTTAGAATAATCTTATCCCAGTATTCTCCCTAATTTCAGTGTGGAATTTTTGTACCGACTACCACTCTAGCTTCAATTGAAAACCTGATATCGAACTTCTAAGTTTTTGAGATAAAGACTGTAAAATCCAGAATAATCGTGGTAATCGGGTTGAATTTGGTATCTTGTATCTTGGGGTATTTTTCAATAAAAAGAATAAAATTTCAAGTTGATTTGTCCATTTCGTTAAAGTGGCGTCACCTACATGACTTTTCAGTAATTTGGAATGTCATGACTTTTTTTGTAGAACCCATATCACATTTTCTAGTAGATCGATTTCTCTAACACCTTTGAGACAAACAACTTTTTTTGTAGACGTCGTTATACAAACGAACGGTTTCGAGTCATTTGGATTTAAAATAATCGATGCAAATGATGATATCATCCAAATGACAAAATTATTGAAAATCATGGTCATTCAATTCCAATCTGAAAGAGAAATCAGAATCTGATACTATATGATAATAATAACTATCATCATTTGGGGGTAATAATTGAATTCAATACCACGAGTCCTATTCCCAAAGTTTTAGAGGAAAACTCTGAAATTTGGCATAGCTATTGAGAAACAAACCGATAGAGTCCCACGGACGGATTTGCCTCAAAAATAATGATTTGAGTAATTCTAATTCGATAAAATAGAATGAACTGCATAAGAAAAGAATTGAACATTGTTTTTTTCATTAAGTCGAACGACGATGTAAAAAAAAACATGAATTAATTTTTAGCTACATTCAATTGTTTAATGTAGAAGACCTTTCAATAAAAGAAAAACATGCGTTGGTCGATTTATTTCAATATTCATGACTAAGAGGCGACTTACAACCTCCAAGAAGATGATTCAAATCACTCACAAATGGTTGTTTGCAGTGACATCTACAAAGAAAATCTGTTTTTCACAAAAATGTTAGGAACATCGATTTTTGTACTGCAATATGTGATACATATGATTTTAAGAAAGTTATAACATTTCAAATTACTGAAAAGACATGTAGGTGACGACACCCTCACGAATGGGACAATGATTTGGTTATCGACGAATACTCCAAATAACCGAATTTCACTCGAATATCACGATTATTCCCGAGTTCATTTACCAAAAACAAAAATTAAAATCAAACTCTGTATCTCAAAAACGAATAACTTGCAGACATATGTTCATACAAAGTTTCGTTTCTATCTTGTCGTCAGCAACATGTACTCAAGAAATACACATTTTATTTTTTTCTTTCTTTGCGTCTACTGAAAGTGTATGTTCACATTGATCATAATCCATCAGTTCACCCTCAGAAACTTGAGGAGAGTAGGAAAAATTGAATATAAAGTATGTAAATTCGGATTAATTTTGAGACCAAATCAATCATCTGAATTCGATTTCGTTTTCAACTACAGGGAGATTTGAGAGGTATGTCGGCATTAACAGCTTAACCTTGTTACGTCAGTATGTTGTTGGAATTCGGAGTATTCAGCAGTTTATGATAAAGATTTATGAAATTCATCTTTGAGAGATATCCATGAATCACAATCAATCGTTTATGGATTAGCAAAAACAAATATCGAGACTATTCGCCGATTCCATTTTGGTCCTCAACCAGACAACAAATTTAGTGAGTTATTATTCTACCTAACTAGACCTAACTTGACTCGAACAAAACACTCTTCTGGAATTCCTATTTTTTTTTTCATCGTCTGATTAGAAAGCATCATCAGTGAATATGGTATGGATTTAACTCGAAAAACTGACCTGTGCGATAGTCTTCACTATCAATGGCCGCAGCTTCCGTTGTATGTTCTATGAGAGACTGCGTTGTTGTAACTGGCTTCTTAGTAACTTTCCTCTTCGTCGTAGTAGGCTGTTTTCTAGTAGGTATCGTTGTGGTTGTCCTTCTCGTGGCTGGTTTCCTTGACGTGTTTCCTGGTCTTGAAGTAGTACTGGTGCGAATATTAGATGTAACAACCGGCTTACTAGAAACTACCTGAGGTTTTTTGGATGACGTACCCTGTTTCTTCACTGGCTTGATTGTGGTTGTTCCAACTGACAAAACCGTCATATTCTTTTTGTTATAAACAACATCTTTCAATCCTTGAAATGGTTCCTGCAAACCTTCGATGATTTTGTTGACGAAAGATTCCACATTGGCATTCAGTGCATCATCCTCGATGAAAATTGGCGTTGTAATATCATTTTCATTCATATTGGGAATATATGACATATTCAAATTGGGATTTCTAACAGGAGGAAAGTTGATCATATCATCTGGAGAAGGACCAGTTGCACCAACTTCTACTGTATCATCATCTTGAGGTTTCACAGAAGTTGATATACTCGGCTTAGGAGTTATCAAGATTGTCGGGGAAGGTCTCTCGCTTGTACTATAGATATTCTGGGTTATATGGTTGTTGATGGTCACGTGGTTGACTGGTTTTCTTTGCGGAAGGGCAGTTGGTCGGGTAAGTGTAGAAGGATACTTGTCGTATGATGTTGGCCTAGGCCTTTCTGTGGTTTCCTCACTGATTGGACCCAAAACTATGATAGTAGGAGCAGGTGTGGGATAGGTACTGCTAGGATTAGTTACACTGAAGCTTGGTCCAACTATATGACTATTCAATGTAGTAGGTGGTCGCCTTGTAGGGCTCGAACTGTGAATGTACGATGTTGAAGGTGGTTTTGAAGAAGTGATAAAAGCTGTTGGTGAATTAGCCATTGTCGACTTTGTCGGAGATGGGTAGCGATGGGTAGAAGTAGGCCTGTTTGTCGGTTTAGGTTTTTTTGTAGTTTTTTTTCTTGTCGTTGATTGAGTTCTACGAGGTGGTAATGTAGTGCTGAAAACATATGAAGTGGAAGGCGGTTTGGTTATCTCAGCTGGCCTCATCGTTGATGAGCCGTATACAGATGTACTATTCAATAAATGCATAATGTTCACGATTGAGTTGAAGTCTGGGTTCTTATTAGGTTTTGTGGGTTCGTGCGTTACCGTTGGCACCCTTACATAATTGTCATTGCCAGTGCTTGATGGTTTAGGTCTGAACATAGGTAAACTAAAACTGGTCGTTGTGTACTCTATAGGAGCATTCGATATTGAGATACCTAGTATCGGCAAGTTGGGTTGTTCTGTTCTCATGGTAGTTTTGTCATTTATGTTCGGACGACTAGTTGGATGGAAATAACCTGGATCGATGTCATTATCATGTTGGTTCAAAATAATGGTGTCTGGTGTTTCTGGATGAGTGACGCCGGTAGTGGTGAAATACTGATCATTACTGACTTGAATGACTTCGTTGTCTTCGGCAGTAGGTAGTATTTCGGGATTCAGTAAGCTATTAGTTATTTGAGATACCCCCAGAGATGTAATGTCAATTGGAGTAGTTTGAGGTCTGATTGTCGGTCGATTATTCAATATGTCATTATCTATTACTCCTACGGATACTATATCTTCATCAATGAATTCTCCAACTGATATATCTTTCGGTAGTTCACAGCATGCTCCAAAAAGGAATCCATCCATACAGGCTCCCACAACTTGGCCTCTCCTACTCGTGCATTCATGGTTGAACATACATACTGATGGACCTCCCAATGGTTCTGCGGCTTTCCTGGATGGTTTGCAGTATCTTGGTGTTATTCGGTAACCTCCGAATAGTTTTCTGGCACCTGAAAGCAATAAATCTCGTATAAGTATATTTTGATGAAAGAACATGAGACCTACAAGTTACAAAACGTTTTCTCCAATGTAGTATAAGATCTTATATTCACCAAGGAATAAAGGTATTTATGAATCACGTCTCAAATCATCAGAACTCTGTTGAAATATCAGATATTCGTACAACGATACATTGATAGATGTTGAATTGAATTATCGATATAACAGATCATAACTACAGATTATAGCTTGCATAAAAATACACCGATCATCATTCGATTCACAGATTTCAGAAGCTGATTCCTTTGACTTGTGAATCATTTGTTAAAACAACAGATAGATGGAAATGAATCGATATTCTAGAGGACAATGAAATGCAGACTGTGAACTTGCAATGATTATGGCGTGCGATCCTATTTCGTCCAAATTTTCTTTGTCATATTTTCCACAAAGTGTGTCATGTAGTTTGATATCTTCATATGTTTGTGAATTAAATGTATAATTTATCTTTCATACATCACCTATTTTGTTAACGCTTCAATTCAGAAAACATCCACTATATAATGATATTAGCATACATGAATGGAGACAGGTGCGCTGCTACTCGATCAAAATCATTGTGCGACATCTTGTCCTGCTTCTTTGAGGGATTCTCGTTTACAGCAGCCACTCAAACTGCAATTTTCTTAAGCAATCTCAGAATGCTAAGAGGCTTCAATTTCAGAAATTGAATATCATGAATCATAGAATCGTACTAGATGTAGAAAATATACTACTGAAAGAGCGCCTCTAAGAATCCTGAAACTCCTGGGAGAACTGAAGCTTGGAGGGTTTCTGTGAACGTGGAACCCTCGAGGAAATAGTAGATAGGAAACAATGGATAATATAATCGAGTTAGCATATCTGTTAGTTTGACATTATGTCAGAACTATTTATACTGGGGCTATCTATCTATATAGCGAAGAATAAAATGGGATGGTGTATGAGACATAAAGACAGAATAAATCACGATAGTTTTTACTTAGTCTCTCTCAATTTATGCATGAATAGAATTTTAACTTTCATTCATTGAACTATCAGAAACATTGCAGGAATCATTTCACCTCTTAGTGCTGCTCTTATCAATGATGTAGAAAAACATTCCAGGGAATATATTTTTTCCAGGGAATTTGAATCAATTTCGGTGAGAATGGTTTCCTGTCTTCTATTACATTTCCATTCATAGTTTCAATTACGTAAGTACCCTGTATAGGTGCAAATTCTGAGTTGCATGTTAATTACTATGAATTGAGAATTGTGTGTAGAAATGTACATTTCACCAACAAGTTCTTCAATAACGGCGATTATTGAACAAAATGATTGATTGAGGGTTGCTGGGCTGTGTGCATGTGAATATATACCAAAGAATGGAAGATTTGTATTTTGTGCAAGATAATTTATTCAATATTCATAGCAGAGCACTTTCGACTGTTAAGTCATTATCAGTGCATACCTGTGAGTAAGTAATCTGCTTCAAGCCATTGGAAAGAAATCGAAATTGAAAATTCGAAATTCGAAGAAATATTCTTGAAAAAATTTGTTTGAAATATTTTTTGGAAATTTGTTTGATATTGAAAATGGTGAAAAAATAGATAGGTGACTTGTTATTTGTTGATGAACTCTTGATTTTGAACAACACATTATAATAAAATCGAAGTTTGAACAAGTTAAATATCAATTTGAAAATTGATAAAAGTGAGGTTACTTACTCGTCAGGTTAACAGGGAAATTTATCCATAGAAATATCTTTGGTCCAGTTCAAAACTAACGACATTATGGTAAAATACGGTATAAACATATAGAGATGTGTTTCACAAAAAGGAGGTGAAATACAGATTACATCTTGTTAAGCAGTCATTGTCGCTGCGAAATGTCGTGTTGAAGTGAACTTGATGAGTGACGGACCTTGATCTAATTATCATTGAACGTACTGAACTGATGGAGGCTAATCTGAAGTTGACATGCATGACATGACATCCACCACATGACATGTGTCAAAGAAAAATCAAGAATTGTTATTATGAAATATTAGTGAAGATAAACATTATGAAATCGGGAATATTTAACCAAGTCCCTAAGGAGCGAATGTTTTGTTGGTCCAATGAGAACCTGATATCAAACAAATTTTCAAAAACTTCTTCAAAAAATTTTTTCAAAAATACTTTTTCAAAAAATTTTTGTCAAAAATATTTTTTAAAAAAACTTTTCAAGTTTTTTCTCAGAATTCTCAATTCCAATTTCTTTTCAATAGCTTAAAGCACATTACTTACTTGGAGGTATGCACTAATGATGACTTAACAGTCGAAAGCGCTCTGCTATGAATATTGAATAAATTATCTTGCACGAAATACAGATCTTCCCTTCTCTGGAAAATAATTGATAACTCTATTCGTCATTGATACAGTGTGTGCTGTTTCAACCCGCAACACCAACTTGATTTAAAAACCGATTTTCAGAAACAATGGAAGTTAGCTAGTTCTCTTTGCGAATGTGGTCAAATCTGGAATATTCATAATCTCAAGGCCAATTTTTGTTTCTTAAAAGGGTCCAAATTCCAGAAGCGTTAATAAGACAATTCTTTTTGAAACAGTGACTAGCTCATTCCATTCAGATATAGCTGAAATACATCCATACAAAATTAGAAATGCTCATGTAGAATTGTTGTTATACGATGGTAAATTTTGAATTCATTGCTTGTCCGATTCACCCTGTGAATAAATCTAAGGAGTTAATATAACCGGTGAGATGGTGATTCTATGAGGACAGACATAGTATACTCAGATATACAGTTTCATCATTGTAAGTTCTACAGAAAGATGTCTCTAGGTCAACCAAAAATCAATGAAACTGAAGTTGAGATTCACCATTTTGAAAATAAGAGTGAACCGTTTGCCACACACTCCACCACACAGTTACTCTGGGAATCGTCTCGATTGATGAAGAGCATTCGAATATAATGAAAATATAGTGACAGAAAAACAGTCTCCAAACACTTCAAGGATGAGATAAACTGATGATATGAACTCGTTAAGAATGAAGAATTTATTATTCAAATTCCCAAGTAATAAAAATGTAGAACATGATGAAAGAATTCTCAACTACTTCAATACTTATCATAAATTTTTGGTTCACCTATAGAGATCTTCCTGTGAGAGTCACAACGATGCAACTTTGGTTGTGAGTAGTCGAGGTGATCCTACATCGAATAATCACTGCATCGGCTATATAACTCCCAAGATTCTGAAACAGGGTTATTCGAATGGTCAAAAATATCAGAATCTGCCATATTGAATAACTAACACTTTATATAAGATATTCCGTTCAAATTTCGTATGGCGATGATGCAGCTCAGCCTGAATCGGGTTATAGTCACTTTTTCTCAAAATGATTGCCTAATAGTCATTCTTGAAATTTCATTTATTTCAACAAACAAAAATAGGTCTTGAAAATCTGAATATTTCAGATTTGTCCATTTTCTCGAATAGACCTCGTTGGGTTGGTACTATATTATGGAATTTTTGTTTCTGGAAATCGGTCGACGGTTCCAATTAAGGAGGGTGTTACTAATTGAAATTGCACACACTGTATATTTGAGGTGGTACAACTTTACCGTCGACTATATTTCTCCTGCGAGGAAGAAAGTCTGGTTCTCGTATTCATCATTAATTCGTAAACTACTAACAATCACCCAGGCAGGAAAAACCCGATTAACTTGACCGATTTTGATAAAACTCCAGATTGTAGATTTGTTTTCTTGGATTTCAGTTTCCAAAAAAGCAGATGGCTTGATTATTGTACAGAGAAAACAATAGGTACGATACCACGCTTAACATCTCATAATGCCCTGTGAGTAGATATACTCAGCTTCATCATGTTTTGAATTGAAGTGTTATCCCTTCTCAATATAATGGTCTCTGATTCACGTCAATATCTTTGAGAGTACGAGGTACGATCTACGAATCGGTCGAATTTTCACCAGACTATGACAAGAATTGGAGGTGTTCAAAAATGATCAAGAATTTCAGATGTACCACTTGCGAGACATTGTATTGATGAACTATCGACATCGCATTAGGAAATAGAGCGTGGATCTTTAATCGACCAGAAAATGTACTACTCATAGCAGCGGTTACGAATTATTGAAAACATTTTGCATGGAAGACTTAGTTATCGTTAGTTTCCTGTCCCTGTCAATGTCTATAATAACAAGTGAGGAAAAATTAAATAAATATTTCGAATATCATGGATAATCAGCCGACACACCTCCCACATCTAGAGTCTCTAAGAGTTTTTCGGTCTTGAAATGGTAAGCCAATCTTAGTAGAGTTTTTATATTTGCTACAACTTCTCAAAAATCGAAACTCCTGTCGTAGGTACTAGAAAGTATAATAATATTGTTGATCAAATAGTAGGAGAGCCGGCTGCAAATTTCGATCGTCATCTGATAACGAAATGTTATTTGTTTCCTGTGCGGTGATTTGCACTCAAACTCGCGATTTTATAATGAAATGAGGATCATGCCATACAATACCAATTGAATGATAGGTCCCAAAACCCTACTTGTGCCACCCCTCAATCTGAATCGAATCCATGACACAGCGATTTTTTTGCAGCCATTTTTCTGAACGTCTGTTCCGTCATGTGGTAACAAGTAAAAACGAAAAGCGAATAGAATGGAATGATGTCCCCTTTGCGAAAATCCCAACTCGCCGCGACTCAGACTGAATCAGGTTAGTGGCACAGCGTTGATATTTCCGAGAATATTTCGCTCCTTAATTATGATAATATCCAATGGACCAGCTTGAACCTCAACATTTGGATTAGAATACTCGTGGTGCGAGCACTGCATGTGTTTCACTCTGGTCCATCAGACATTATCTTCAGAGACGAGTGAAAAATTCTAGGAAATATTGACGACCAGCCACTGACTTCGATTAGTTTGAATCGCGATACGTTTGGATATTCGCAAAGGAGACATTATGCCCTTCCATTTGCCTTTCATTTCAACTCGGTATAACATACACTACACTGTTTTACCACTAACCAAACCGATTTTTTGAACGTCTCGACACGTGTTTTGCTAACTATGTTAGCATCTTCAGGAGAAGACTGAAACAGTTTCAATCTTTCCCTGATGATGCTAACGTAGTTAGCGAAACACGTGTCGAGGCGTGTAAAATATCGGTTTGGTTAGTGGTAATACAGTGTAGTGAATTATCGTGCCAAAGGTTCCAGTCTTCGATATATCGGTATCACATGACGGGCGAATGTCCGGAATAATGACAACAAATAAATCGCTGTGCCATCGATTTGGCTCAGATTGGGAAGTGGCACAGGTTGGTTTTTGAGATCTACCATTCAATTGGTATCGGATGACATGATTCGCATCTATTTATCAAATTGCGGAATTGAGTGCAAATTACCACACAGAAGAGTGTGATTTTTTAATCATTCTGCTCAGGATAATGATTGGCAGGTGCCTTTCGATATATCACAATATGTTTACATGCCTTTATGACATATATCATTTCGTTATCAGATGACGGTCCCGCTTTGCAGTCGGCTCTTTGACTATTGATAAAAACCTAGTAGGTGACCTTGTACGCAAAGAGGTACATAAAGCTCTCGCCTACTGAAATCAGGTTGTCATTCAGAATGGAGGTAATAGTGGACTCCCAACCGAGATGCTGCCAGAATCACAACCGCGTACCTCACATTTCA